GGACAGCATCAAAACTTATCATAGAATAAAGGTTGGGTGAACAATGCGACAAAAGAGATATTTTACTGTAGAAGAAGCGAACCGGCTGATCCCTACGCAGAACAGAGATTGTCAGAATTGAGGGAATTTCGGGTGGAGTTAGAACAACTTGGGGCAGAATTGACTCCGCTCTTTGAGGTCATTCGTCACAACGGTGGGCATCGAAAAACACCGCAGTTTCTCGGATTAACAGGAAAGTTCCGGGACGCTATTGAAGAAATTCAGTCCTATGGATGCACGATAAAAGATATAAATCCGGGGTTAATTGACTTCCCTCACCTTCGCGAGGGTAGGGAAGTCTACCTCTGCTGGAGGGCTGGGGAAGAAGCAATCTTATACTGGCACGAGATTGATACCGGGTTTGCCGGAAGACAGTTGGTTGAAGAGTAAAGTTGAGCGCAGCGAAATCCCAATCTATCGGGGCGGCGTCTATAGGGTTTGAGAAATTGAGGGATTAGGTTGCCCCAATCCCTCAGTTGTACAGAATATCGTCGTTCCTATCAAAACATATCTTCTCGCCTGTCTACCTCAAATTTCCCCCTGATACTCCCGCTCAAGCGTATTAGTGAAATCAATCACCCGATCCAACGCCTCACTCGCACGATCCCGAGCCGCCTCCGTGGTTTCTTCCTCAGCGAGTTGTTTCCGCCGCTCCGGGATCCAATGCTCCTTGAGATACGCCAATTGGTTCATAAAGTGCGGATCTTCGGTGTCACTGACAAAGTATTCAATGACGCCGAGCAGCCCGTATTTTCGATTCGTTTCCATATCTCCTGCTTCCGCTGCGATCTGATCCGCCAATTCCCGATTTCGATCCTGTCGTGCCTGCCCGATCTCCTTCGCCGATTCTGTCAATAAATGTTCGACGAAAGCCTGCTTGGAATTGACCCAGCGGGGTAGGCTCTGGACATACTCCTCAAGATCGAACTTGCCGTTACGCCGGATAGCGGAATAGCTGTGGATGTGGACGTTGCGGAAGAATGCGGTATAGCCGACATTTGGATCCATCGTATCCGCGTCGTAGAGGATCTGATTTTCGACGTTCCCGTAGAGAAAATCATACCGATCCTCGGTGAGGTTCATCGGTTTCAGGTGTGCTAACACAATCGCACGGACGGCATCAACAAAATCCTGATCGAAATCATACATCGCCAGTATCTTCTCGGCGATAACTGCTCCGGACTCGTGGTGAACCGTGCCGCCAAGGTTGTTTTCGTCATAAAGCCGGGTGACGAGATTTCTCGACTCGGCGTGAGTTGTTCATTCAGCCAGAGTCCGTCATGATTAACGACCCGCTTGCCGTTTTCATCCGACAAAATTTCACCATCATACCGTTTGGTGATATCGTGTAGTGTTCCCGCGACTTCGAGCTTGGTGACGTCGCCACCCTCGCGCCTGCCAAGTTCCATGCTCATGGCGCGAACCCGCATCGTGTGGTTCCATGTGTAGTGCCGCCATTGGAATCCAACACGGTTATGATCCCATAAACCGTAGGTTTCATTGACGAGACCTTCCAGTTCCTTTAATACTTGAGAATAGTTCATAATCCCTCCTTTTGTATCGTGTTGAGCGCAGCGAAGTCTCCCGATTCTATCGGGGTGTACAGCGTCGTTTTACCCCGATGTCTTGGCAAATTGAACGCTGACCTGTACGAGTGCTGTGCTTGAATTGAATTCAAATTCATAGATCTGTCTGTCCCAACGAAAGCGGTAGTCGGCACCGTAACACGCGATTGCGGCAGGGGCGTAACCTTCAGGTACATGAAGGAACAATGTTGCTTTGCTGCGCCTAGGGGGCTTGCAGACCGCTAAAAAACTCTGGCTTCGCTTATCCCAGCCGGCGGACAAGACATCCACGCCACCTTGCGTAAGGTGAATATCTGTAGCGAGTAGTTGGGGGACCTTCTGTTCAGCGCGTAGGCACAGTAGCTTGACAGAGCGGGGTGGAATATCGAACAGAGCTACCCGCTCTCGAACATTGCCGAGGAAATTCACGGTTCCAGAAATCGTGCACAAGATAATATTGAGAACGATTTAAGCCAAGCGAATCCAAAGCCAAATCGACATCTGCCTTTATATCCGTCCAGTTAAAAACCCCAACGACATTGTAGGATTCGTAGGGAGATGTCACCGGTAGATTCCAGATTTGCGGGAATTTGTTTTCATAAAGATCAACGGTATTGCGGAATCACCAGTTAGTGGAAAAATCTTGGCGAGCAATTCCGCTCGCTCCGGCTTGAGTGTTGTGAAATCATCACCGCAAGTGACAACCCCGCCACTCATGCCTGCCATTGTCATTGCAATAAGTGCTTCGTTCAGAGGGAGTGGTTCGTTGATGCTTAGGGTGCCAAACTCATTTGTCCATGCGTTGCCATACATCGGAAGATGTGCCGCGTGGGTATTGACAATCGGTTTTAACCCTTGCGGACTCTCCCAAGACCCTTCGCCGATGTAGCCGCCATAACCTGAAGATGTTTCGTTCAGCACAAAGTCTCCGATACTTGGTCCCCGGCATGTATTACACGCTGCAAGCACAACCTCTTTTTCATTGTCATCAATAATCTGATTTCAGTAACTGAACCCCGAGGCGATACAGTTCAACAGCGGTGAGCGATGAGTTGTGTGCCACAAAGTTGTTCAGTTCTGTCAGCGGTCCTATTGCGTATGCGAGTAAGTCCGCTTTGACCAGATCATATCCCCACTCATCAATCAATTTTCGGATATTTTCACGAATATGCGCCTGCGCCCCCGGTTGCGATACATCGAGTACGGCAACCTCCCTCCCATCTTCCGGCAAAACGATGGAGGCAGGCTTCTTTGTGCCACGCTCTTGGAGGAAATACCCTGAGCGCGTTCTCAAGAGTTCGGAGCTAACCTCCACGCAAAACGGCGTAAATCGGATGCCGGCTTTTAGTCCTTTGGCATGAATCTGGTCAGCAACCGATTTCATCCCACTTGGAAACTTCTGCACATCCGCTTGATAGCTGCCGATTGATGCTTCCCAACCCTTTCCAATCTGGATGTACTCAAATCCGCCGGGAATTGATGGGTCAGATAATCGGTCTTTGGTAATCTGTTCAATCTGTTCGGAAATTTGCGCGGCACTTATCGTCCTGTCCTCACTATCCTGAGCACACCAACCTGAGAAAACACGATTTAGCGATTTTGGTTTCACACGGCGTCCGACCATCTCGGCGTAATCATGGTATGCCGCCCGCCCCTGATGCGCGAAATTCAAGTAAACAGACTCAGCGTATACCTCCTCACCTTGACGGCAGATATGGTTTTCACACTTATGGTAGAGAGCCCAGTGATTCACGCCGTGGTTTTCTTCCTTACCCTGTTGCGTGCCTCCATCATATCCCATTTGGACAGCAGACCACCATTTTTGAAAACTCAAAAAGCCGAAGACGAGAGATCGCTTGCTCTCCGTGTCATAGAGAACTCCGTTGTAACAGGAGGTGGTCGAAGCCTCTTCGTTGATGCGAAACCCGTCGTGGATCTCTTTAAGTCCAGACGTCATCGGTGTATTCATGTCCAGAAAAGTATGATAGCCCGATGGTGCACCACCTAAATAAACACCGCCTTTGGCTTTACCGTTGTGAGGGGAGACATCAATAGTGGAAATCTGTTCTAAGGTAATTGGTGCCTCGTGCGTGTTTTTTTACGCCGACGGTCAATACAACATAAGGCTTTCTGGGATAACATTTCAGATAGAGATGGGTCCGCACCCCATGCCCTTCGGGTTGGTGAGCAAATGTAATTGGTTGGTAAACGCCAGATTCATCTTCGGTGGCAGGACTTGTAATAAACTCTGAACTTCCCGGATCCAGTGTTGTTAGGACTGTCCCATCTTGCAAAATAATCTTCGTATACGCGTCCCTGATGATGCTATAACCCGTTTTATCAGTGTAGTTCCAGGTTCCCTTGGAAAGATCAAAATTGATTTGGAATAGATTGTTTTTCGCGATAACCTGACTGCCTTGTCGGCTAACTGTCAGATCACCAGCTTCTTCTTTCATCTGTAATATGCCTCCATACGTGAAACGTGAAACATGAAACGTAATTGGATAAGTTTGATAGACGTTGAGGCAAATTTATCTCAAAATTATGAATCTGTTCCCCTATTTCCATTCTTTGATTGCCTATTTTGCTAACGCCCAACAATGAAGCAGTGTGGTCGGTTCACTGCCAGCCTGTGATAACGAGAAGGTATCTTCAGGACTGAGAAAGAGTACATCTCTCAAGCCAAGCGTTGATGTTTCTCCATTCGTCTGTACCGTTGCGCCTCCACCAATCAGCACATAAATTTGATTCTGCGCTGATGGGTTCATGCGTGAACGCTTCGCCGATATTGAGTTGGACGTAATCGAGCGACAGATGTTGACTCCCTTTCTGGGGCGAAACAACACTACGCCAATCTCCCGATTTGCCGAATACAGGTCCCGCTTTTGCCATCGAAATCACTTGTACACCGCTTCGGTGCCCCAGCTCCGGTTTCGGTGAATCGTTGGGGTGATCCCGTTCGCCACGATATAGTGCCATGTCTGGCGGGGATTGGAAACTGATGAGCCGCGCCGGTTGGTCTGTCGTATTGACGGTGCCGTGAACCTCACGCGCCGGCACAAAGATTCCATCGCCCGCAATAATTGGCGTGTAAACCGCTCCCTGCCGGATATGACCGCCGCCCTCAAGCACTACAATCATATCCTCCGATTCGTCGTGAAGATGTTGCGTGAACTCCTGACCGGGGGCATGCTGTCCGTGGTTAAGGGTTATCTGTGTCGCCCCCATATCGGGGTGTACGACCCGCCAATTTTTTCCCTTGCCCATCTGGAAAGACGTTCCTGATTCGAGATTAAGAATTTGCATAAGAACTCTCCTATTCTAGTTCTTCTTATACGTGGCGATGTCCTGAGACAGCGTGATTTCGGGCAGTGGGATTAGCAAGTTTACTTAATCCTACCAAACTTCATTCGCAATCTCATAATCCTGTGTGGTGTCGATCTCATAATATCCACCTGCAATGTCCACCTTGTGGATTTCCACGCCCTGCTCAACCATCTCCTGAAAGAGTTGAATCAGATACGCTTTCTGCACAGAGGCTGCCCCCTGAAAGGGTGCGCCGTTATATTCACGGCAAACCCGGTGGAAATGGTCCCGTAGAAGCCTCGCCCCGCGCTCGCTAAATTTTGCAACACCGATATATTCCCCGTGTGCGGCTTCGGGTGCTATATCACGGCTGATTCTTGTGACGCGCGCTCCGTCTGCGAGGATTTTTTCACCATCATCTTCGGGGTGAAGTGTACGCGCAGCGTAACGCTCTCGCCAAGCGGTATCGACGACAAGCGTGATGTCGTAAGGGGTATCCATCAACGTCTGTGTCACCCAAGGGCGATAGATAACGTCCGCATAGGTGCAGGCAAACGGCTCATTCATTTCGGCTTCGGCGCGAAAAAGCGAGACTAAGATATTATTCTGCTGCCAATCTGTGTTGTGGTAAAAACGGAAGGCAGGTAATCGTGCTGGATGCGTTGAATCTGATACCCACCGACGAAGACAATATCCCCCACATCTGCTGCACGCCACGCTTCGAGTATCCAATCGAGGATGCGTTTTCCTTTAACCGCTGCGAAGCACTTAGGCGTATCTTCTGTTAAAGGCATAAGTCGTCTGCCACGTCCGGCACCGATAATAATCGTCTTCATTTATACCAATTCTCCTTAATTATATTTTACACGAGTGCGCCCCGATCGTAAATCTTTTTTTTCGGCGGTTTTGAATCGTTTTTCCATTTTCGTTTTGAAAGCGGTGTGTTAAAATAACGTAAGCTGCCACTTTAATCAGCCAATCGTCAGAAATAGGAAAGGACGTGGATTTCATAGTATGTCCGAGTAGCCTTCCCGTATAAATTGTACAGAAACGGGTCGTAGCGTGGGTTTCCCGCTTTTTTATCTTTATCCAATTCTTGAGAAAACTATGAAAACTATGAAAATTCCGAGAATTTTTTAACGGTGTTTTTCAACTAGCAACTTGCGTTAAAATACAAGTACCCAACCGAAACTGTCGAAACCAACAAGGAGATTTTTTATGTCAAACGTTAACCCCTTCAAACAGTCCGGACAGTGGTATCGCGGCAATACCCACAGCCATAGCACCGAGTCGGACGGCAGGCTGCCGATGGCAGACCGCTTGCAGCTTACCGTGAAGCAGGCTACAATTTCTTAGTGCTGACCGATCATCGAAAGGTCAACGATGTTTCCGCCCACAGCAGGGACGGCTTCTTGGCAATCTCTGGCAGTGAGGTCCACCCCAACAATCCCTATGGCGGCGACACATATCATATCGTCGGTATAAACCTCCACGAGCGCATCAACTGCGCCGAATTGCATCCCAACGCCGTCATCGAAGAGATAAACCGGCAAGGGGGCGCGGCGGTGCTCTGCCACCCCTACTGGTGTGGACACTACGCTGCTGGACTATCTGACCGCTGAATGGATACTTCGCGGTTGAAGTTTACAACGACACCTGCATGGGCATCGGCAAGGGCTTTTCTGAGCAGGCTTGGGACGATTTATTGGACAAGGCAGGTCGTCCCGTCTTCGGCATCGCTTCCGACGACGCACACGGCACGGAGCACGACTGTTTTCACGGTTGGGTCATGGTGAAGGCTACTGAACTCACCACCGATGCTATTATGACAGCGTTTCGCACCGGAGCTTTCTATTCAACCCTCGGACCGGAGCTAATCGATCTGGACGTGGTGGACGAAGGCGAAGAGAAACGGAGCGTTTCCGTCAAGTGTTCACCTGCACAGTCCATCGTGTTCAAGGCCCAGCGCAGTCGTGGAAAACGCATCGTTGCCCCCGAAGGCGAGCACTGACTGAGGCAACGTATGAATTGCCGAGCGGCATCAAGTACGTCCGCGTCGAGATTACCGATGAGACCGGCAAGAAGGCGTGGTCAAATCCGTTTTTCTTTTAAGTTCAATCTATAAATCGCGGGTGATTGCCACTCACTCCCAAAACGGGTGTGGGTGGGCCGTCCCCCCGTGCTTCTCAAGAACACGCACAAATGAATGGGGTTTAGCAAAAGAGGAGGAAGTTGTACAATGGCGGATCTGAAAGTCGGTGTTATTGGCTGTGGTGGGCACGCGCAGGGGCACTTTGCGATGATTAAAGATGAACCCCGGATGGCACTCATCTCAGTCGCGGAGCTTGATGACCAACGGTTGGAGCAGGCAAAGCTCACCCATAAACCCGAATTGGCGTTCAGCGATTACCGCGAGATGCTGGATCAGGTCGACCTAGATATTGTCTACGTCGTTACCATGCCCGGCCATCTGCTGCCGATTGTGGTAGAATGTTTGGGGCGTGATCTGCATACGTCGGTCGAAAAATCACCCGGAATGAACGTCGGAGAAACACAACAGATGCTTGACGCTGCCCGCAAGAGTAAGGGCAAAGCGATTCTGTCCGTCAATCGCCGTTACAAGCCAGAGGTGTTGGCGGTACGCAAATTACTGCAAGAGCGTGGCGGAGCGGTGCAGGTCGCGGCAAATTATCATAAACCGCCATCGGGGTTGCAACGTCCGGGCCTCCGGGAGGTTGCACCACCGGAGATTATCTGCGATGCAATTCACCATGTCGATCTGCTGCGTTGGATGGCAGGACGCACACCAACTGAAGCAGCAACCGCTGTAGAGGTATACGGTCATTCGTGGCACGGCAAGCGGGAAGGCACACCCCGCTACAACGCTGTCATCGCCTTTGACAACGGCTGTCACGGAACAATGATGAGCCACTACGGGGTTGGCTACCGAATTCAGTCAGCGGAGGTCCACACCGAAGATATGTCGGCGTACCTCGACTTGACACGCACACCGGAAATCACTCTTTACTTAGACGGGGTGCTATGTGAGGAACCGCTCGACCTCGATGCTGTTGGTGGACCCGACTTCAATGAAACTCGCCATTTCGCCGACTGCATCCTGAACGACACCACTCCTTGGAGTCCGCTGGAGGAGGCGGTGAAGACGATGGAACTGTGCGAAGCCGTTGAGCGAGGGCATCGGGGGAGACTTTAATCCTGATTCGGTTTAACGGGACAACCGATCAAGCACATTTTGTGTGATGCGCTCCACAACCGGATCACCGCCTTGCAGTCCATGCGCCCAATCGGTTGTAGCGGCGGTGAAAACGGTTCCCCCACGGGTATAAATCCCCATCGTCGCGGCGCCGGTGTGACCTCTATCCCAACGTTCGTACCACTCACAGTCGTCTGGATGCCAACGTACCGGGGCAGTGCAAAGAATGAGGAAGCTATCGGGAGTGCCATCCCGATGTGTTGGGACGGGAAGCCCATCCACAATTTTCAGCTCGCAGCCGTCGCACTCGTAGCCCACGATGGTGTGCTTACCGCCGAAGGTATCTTCCTGTTTGAGATCTGTCCCTTCAAAAATCCAATGATCCGGGCGATGCACTGTGTATTCGCCTGAACCATCCATGAACTGACCGTGGCTGAGGTGGTAGCCGCCGTGGAGAAAACCGACGCCAGTCAATTCGTTTTCAGGCCGACCGACGAGGTAATGACTCCACAGGGTACTCAAGGTTCGATAGTCGCCTGTCTTGTAAATAGGATCCGTATTGTACCACTGTTTCCAGCAGGTCAAGGCGCGTCCTTCGTCTTCGTTGCGGACTTGCCAACAGACCGAATTTCCGCTAAAGAACGCCGCATTTCCACCGTCAGCGATGAATGCCTCTAGGTTGTTTCGCATCCCTCCAGACCAGTATTCATCGTGACCGATGCTCAACACTAACCGATATCCCTGCAAAATTTCCGGGTGAAACTCAAGGTCGCTGTTAGCAGCATAATCGAGTGTGTAGCCATTCTGTTCCGCCCATTCCACAAAGAATGACTCCCATCTGCTAAAAAGTCCCGCCATCGGTCGGTCGAAAGAAATACGATGCCCCTGTAAGTTGCTGTGACCATGATAACTGTAGACGCTATATCCGCCCCAGTTGTTGTAGGCGTTATAAGTGTTCGTCGCCAGTTGAAGCAGAATCTTCGTGTCACGTCCCGGCTGTGCAGACCGCACAACGAAGTGCATCGTTCCTTCAGCGGTTCGGCGGTTTCTGTACGTGAAATCCCCACCGTTATCCTCCGCTCGCATTGACACTTCGTAGTATCCGCTCCGCCATGTATCTGGTACACGCAGCTTGAAACTCGTGGGCCAGCGGCAGCCGTGCGACGATGCATCCTCTGGTATTGAATGTGCAGATCCGGGGAGTTCGTTCTCGCTCCAGACCAACTCACGGGTTGCACCGACGCGCACAATCTCCAATGAATACTCCGATGCGCTGGTGGAAATATGAAACCCGATCTCTTCGCCCGGTGCGTAACTGAGTTGGTCGGTGTACCCTTCGATATAAAGTGGGCGCAACTGTACTTCTGAAAAGGCTAACTGTGCCTTATATACTTCCATACAAATCTCCTTCTTGGCTGGAAAGGCAATAAAAAAAGCAGCCAAATGAATGGCTGCTTTTTTTATTGCTTGATTCGAGAGGTGTCCGAATCAAAAGATTCTATTCAAGTACCCCAATTTTTGCTGCCTCTGGTATTTCGGTCGGCAGCTTCCGCGCTGCCATTCTATCTTCTGGCACATAGCCAGAGTAGTCCGAAATTGAGCCATGCGTCAGGGCATAAATTGCGACGTTGGTCATGAAACGATAGACGCCGGGAGAGTATTTGACGGAGCGGGTTGGTAAGCTGACCGACTCCATCGCGCACATGTAGTCACGGCGAACTAAAATGACCGAAATCTTGTCGCCAACGGAAATGCCTTCAAGGAAGTTTCGCCTACCCGGGCGAGACCCCCACCAGAAAATGTCGAATCCGGTCGGTGGACCACCCATCTCATAGAAGTTATCGTAGATTTCATGTTCGTTTGGGATGCGTTGGACCTGATATTCTGGCATCACATATCGCATCTGTGCCAAGAATAGGCGAGGCATCGCTTGCGTCGCCGCGTCAATACCGCAGTCGTCAAAGACGAGGAGGCCGCCTTTTTCAACGAGATATCGCCGCAATGCAGTCATTTCTGCCTCGGAAAATCGGCTATCCATCTTGCCACCGCCATATTGACGACCCATCAGGTTCTTGGAACGGACGTGTGCCGGGTCATGTCCCGTCATGAAGACTAATGGACATTTCATCAGGTTAGCGTCGTTTAGCTTCAACGCGCCGCCTTCAACGTTCATGTCGGTCTTGATCTTGGTACGTTCATTGAGCCACTTGGTAAAAGCGTTCAGCGAGGAGGCATCTGCCCACCAGTCAGCGAGACTGTGACGGAGACGCGTAAAACGGAAGACGCCGCGGATATCAGCACCACGACCAACAACACTCCCACCGGGTTCGCCACGTGGCAATGGAGGCACCTCAACGTTACCGAGGTTAATGTTCTCAACGACATCGCTCAAAGCATCGCGAGCGGCACCGACATGTTCGACCATAGCGAGTCCCTTCGGACGCGCAAAGGCAACCTTCACCTGCACAATGCCGCCAATCCCACGACCGATGTTGGCGGGTACGGCACTTGGAGCCGTTGCAACGGGTGCGGAAAATGCCAACGCCCCTGGCGCATCAGAGACCGGTAGGTCAGCATGTGTCACGACTTGCGGCACAGGCTGATTCGGGCGTGTCACTTTCGGAATGTTGGGATTAAGGGGAGCATCCAACTTCACTACTTTATTAGCAAATTCCAAAACGGTTTGTGGCTGCACGGAGGTTGGTCGCACAACTGCTGCTGTCGTCACTCTGGGTTGGACTTGAACTTGCTCAACTACCACTGTGTTTGTGGTTGGAACAGTTGGCTTAATTACCGGCTTAATTACCGGTTTACGAACTTGTGGTTTAGGGGGTTCCTTTGCCTTTAAAACTTCGGCACCGACTAAATCTTTGAACTGCTGGGTTTGGGTAACGAGGTAGATACCCGTGATAAAGAAGGCGACTCCGTGAACAATCAACGAGGTCATCAAAGCCCCTGAGGTTTTTTTGGCACTCATTTGTTACCTCCAGAAATAGTTTGCGTCAACAGTTGGGTAACCCTTTGTATCATCTTACATGGGATGCTAAAGCGGGCTTGTTTTTTTTGTGGTAGACGATTTACCAGTTGATAGAGAGACACTCACGCGATAGGTCCCTGACTAGGAGGATGTACAGAGTCAGCGTCGAGCTGTCCTCCACCGGCTATTCACGCAGAAAGCCTCGCGAAAAAGTGAAATTCTCATACCCTAACCTTGCACTCACTGTTAAAACGCAGAAATCACCCGAACAACTTAGAGATTTCTTGATATTATCAGTCACCTTATTAATTGTATGCTAAAATCACCATTCGGTCAAGAAAAAAATGAGCCTACTTCTATCACACATCATTAATCATTTTTCCCGTTTCCAATCTCAATCCATCTCTTCTGCTCTGCAGATTCGACGACAGCATCAATCGCCAACTGTGCCTTCCAGCCATCGAAGAAAGAGGCATCTCGATCCGGATTAAGTTGTCCATTCAGAATTCCGTCAACGAAACACCCCATCATTCGACCCAAAGCGTGCGGTTTGCCTTCGGCAGCTTCGGGTGGCAGATCGACTGTCTCCCAATCACCGTCCCGGTGGCGAAACCGTAAGCCCTCCTCTTGGCCACGGCTTAAGTAAGCGAACAGTGCCCCCTCCTCACCGACGACCTCAATATATTTGTTTTCCGGACGTGACGGCGTAATACTACTGACGAAAAATTGACCTTTCAAGCCGGATTTGGTCTCGAACCAAGCGGCAGCAAGATCATCGGTATCGATCTGGGTCGGTTCACCTGTGCTGCTATGCGGACGAACGCGCGGCACGTTATGCAACACGCCGCACACCTGTGTAATATCGCCACATACCCACCGAATCGCATCAAAAAAGTGCGATCCCATATCGCCAAGAATGCCGGTGCCAGAAAGCTTCTTTGGTTACGCCATGCTGCCGTTGCCGATGATTGCAGCGCACTCCAACCGTCAGCTTGAATACGAACATAGAGCGGTTCGCCAATCTTGCCGTTCTTAAGCATTTTACGCAATTTATAGAGGCAATGCGTGTAACGGAACGTGAAGGCGACATGATGAATCTTACCCCTGGCTCGGCAATGTCGTACATCTCACGTGCCTCGGAGGCATTCATTGCTAAGGGTTTCTCGCAGAAAACATGCTTTCCCGCTTGGAGTGCCTGTACCGCAATGGGATGGTGGAAGACGTTTGGTGTTACGATTGTTACTGCATCGATTGTGTCATCAGCGATCACATCTGCATAGTCTGTGTAGACTGTTGGAACACCAAATTTAAGCGCAGTTTGCTCGCACAGATCGCGGTTACGTCGGCACAGTGCGACAACCTCAGCGTTGGGGTGACGCTGCAAGCCGGGAATCTGACATACCTCTGCAAATCCACCGGCACCAATCACGGCAAAACGGAGTTTGCGGTCCATGCAGTTTCTCCTTGTTCCTACCTTACTTGTCTTTCGTGAGGGAGCGTAGGGGTTAAATCGCGTGAAGATTCAAACGGATAAGTTTAGCCGGGTTAATTCAGTTTAGCAATCTGTTGGGTCAGGACACGGATATTCCTAGAAATTTCCTCCCGATCTGGTGGATCATCCGATAAGCGGAGATAAGTATTGAAGGCAGCCAGAGACTTACCGTAGGCGTTGACTTGGTAGTATAGATAACCGAGATCTCGATAGTCCTGTGCGGATTGAGGGGCAAGCCATGTGATCTGCTCGCCGACATTGACCGCTTTCTCGTGCTCTTCTTTCCTGAAATGGATCTGTCTCAGGTTCCGCAGCATCCGTGCGAGAATCTCTTTATTCGTAACCGCTTGCAAAAAACGCGGATGCATCGGCATGGACTCACGGAAAATCTGCGTCAACCTTTCGGAGAGATCCTCATCCGATAAAATTTGCCCTCTCTCAAAGGGATCGATCACTGCCTCTAAATCCCGATGCTTGACGATAAAATGTCCGGGGAAACCGACTCCCACCAACGGCAACCCAATCCGCTTGCCAATTTCCATATACACAATTGAAAGTGTAATCGGAATGCCAGTTTTGCGCTCAAGCACTTCGTTGAGATAGCTGTTCCGTGCATCGTAATAATGTTCTTGACTGCTGCCCGCGAACCCCTGTTCCTCAAATAGGTAGCGATTTAGATGGTTAATTTGGTCACTCGTATCCGCTGCGTTACCAATCTGCGATTGAAGTTCTTCAGCCATCTGATTTAACCGCTGTAGATACATCTCAATGTCCAAATCAGCATAGGCATCTTTGGCAATCAGGAGGGCACCCTTAGCCAGATCAATCTGGTCATTTTCTAGTTGTGCAAGCTCAAAAAGAGCGTCTCCAGTTGCGTTTTTCATAACTGTTGGCGGAGTTTGTGTCCTCCACCTTCCCCTTTTTTGATATTCTCAGATGAGATCTTTATCGGTGTGAGTCTCAGGCTTTTTGAAACAGGCTTGAAAATCTCTGAAAAATGGGGTATCATGGGCATCGGATTCACCCGTATTGGGCGATCTTTTCGTTTGATAATACCGCCCTGCTGAAACTCACATTACTGGGTCAGAAGATATTTTACCACAATTGACCCGACTTGCCTACATCTATTCTCTAAAAGCCGCCGGCAGTAGGAGCAAAGAATATCATGACTGACAACACGCAAGAACGTCGAGAACTGAGGACACTTCAACCGGAGGATATTGTCGGGATGAAAGGACTCAGTGGATCAGTAATCTCGCCTGACGGTAAATGGGCGGCGTTTGTCCGCGCTGTTCCCGTCCTTGAAACTGAAAAAAGCGAATACCGAGGTCATATCTGGCTGGTTTCAACCGATGGTGGTGAACCGTTCCAGTTGACGAACGGTCCCAATGGGGACAGCAATCCGCAATGGGCACCTGACAGCACGCAACTCGCCTTTGTCTCAAGGCGCGGCGACAAAACGCAGATCTGGATTATTCCGATCACAGGTGGCGAGGCCAAGCAACTCACCCATACAAAAAACGGCGCATCAAATCCGCAATGGTCATTTGATGGGAAGCAAATCGCATTTCTCAAGACAGAGCAGGATAGCGAGGCTGATGAGAAGCGGAAGAAAGCCAAGGACGACCGAATAGTCATGGGGGTAGATGACTTCAAGCAGCAGCACCTGTGGGTTATTGAGGTCGAAACGCTAGACGATGAACCTGAACTGCTCTTTAATTTACCGGAGGAGGGGATCAGATGAGAATGTCAATGTGGACAAATCTCAGAGACTAACAGCGGGAGACTTTCACGTCAGCGAGCCGCTGGTGGTCGCCGGATGGGAGCAGATTGCCTTTGTCTCCGCACCTTCCCCAAATGCAGATGATATGATGTTCAACGGGATTGTTCACCTCGTTGACATCGAAACCAAGAACGTCCGGAAATTGACAGCGCACACCGGCGGTGAAAGTTCGCCGCGTTGGTCGCCGGATGGGGGGCAAATCGCATACTTACACAGCCCAGAACGGTATGGACAGAAAGATCTTCACATCATTTCAGCGGCAGGCGGCGCATCAACAAACCTGACCGCCATCCAGCTCGATCGTAACGCCGATGCACCAGTCTGGTCCCCGGATGGAGAGGCTATCTACTTCATCGCAATGGATCGGGTGCGTTGGCAGCTTTATTCCGCTGCAAAAGCTAAGGACGAAATTCGTCAAATTACCCGTGGCGATTATGTCATTGGCGGGATTTCCATCGCCGATGATAGCGATACATTCTTGTGTACTCGCAGTGAGCCATACGCTCCAGCGGATGTTTGCGTAGGGTCTATCCGCACAGGTGAGATGAAGCAGCTTACGAAACTCAATCCACAACTAGAAAACGTCGCGCTCGGTGAAGTGCAGGTGATTCAGTGGCAGAGCAGCGACGGACTTGAGATCGAAGGTTTGCTCTGTTTGCCTGTTGGCTATGAAGCGGGTAGAAGCTATCCACTCATTGTTGAGCCACACGGCTGGGTACCCCGTAGTTCACGCGATTTGGGTTTCAAACCGACATGGCACTATTTCAGTGGCGAAGGCTTTGCTTACTTTGCACCGAACTTCCGCGGCGGAGATGGGTATGGAAACGACTTCGCCACAGCGAAACTATAATGACTGGGGCGGCGGCGACTATCGGGACATCATGACAGGCGTAGATTTTCTGATTGAAGGAGGAATTGCTGATTCCAATCGTCTAATCGTTGGCGGCTCAAGCTACGGTGGCTACATGACAGGTTGGATTATCACCCACACCGACCGCTTCAAAGCCGCTTGTAATGTGTGTGGCGTCATCAATCTGGTCAGCTTTTATGCACAAACTGATATTCCGAACTTTATGTCGCTCTACTTTGCGGGTCCCTCCATCGACAGGGTTAGGATTGTACCGTGAGCGATCGCCGATCAGCCATGTGGATCGCGCTCAAACCCCAACCCTCATCCTGCATGGTGAGGAAGATATCCGAGTTCCTTTGCCACAGTCGGAGGAATTCTACGCCGGACTCAAAGCTGCCGGCGTTGAAACGGTATTCGTCAAATATCCTCGTGAGGGCCATAGCATTGGGGAGCCGCGCCATCAGTTGGATATGCTCAAGCGCCAGTTGGCGTGGTACAACAAATACGTGACCCATGATGCGAAAAGTGATGGGAGCGCGTGACAAACGCGTTCCAACATTCTCTCATTTTTTCATTTTCCGGTTGACCCTTTTTTGTCAGTAGGGGTATAATGCGGATCAGCGCGAAAGGTAACGGACAAGTCCCGTAAGCGTTGAAATTCGTTTAGTGACCGAAACAGGCGAGGGATAACTATGGAAACGTTTCCCATAATCCGAATACAAGGGGGTTGGTCATGGACAGAGTAACAATTAACCAAATGGTACAAAACACCATCCAGCAATATGGCTCGAAGACTGCGTTATCTCACAAAGTTGATAAAAAGTATCAGGATATCTCTTATGCAACACTCGCAGAGCGGATCAAAGACTTCTGCTTAGGCCTGACCGAACTCGGCTTGCAGAAAGGAGATCGGGTCGCACTGCTATCTGAAAACCGTCCGGAATGGGCGATAACCGACCTAGCGACGCTTGCCGGCGGTGGAGTTACTGTGCCAATGTTTTCGACGCTGACGTCCGCACAGGTGGAGTACATCGTCAGGGATTCGGGGGCAAAGATCCTCTGCGTATCCAGCGAAAGACAGCTGCAGAAGATCAAGGATTGGGATGCAAATGTCCCAACAAATCTTCAGCACATTGTTATTTTTGACGATCTACAAGACGACTCAGTGCGCACGTTCGATCAGGTGTGAACTTGGGCAGCAGGTTGAAAACGGGGATCAGGTCTACCAGCAAGCCAGTGACGCTGTTGGACCGGACGACCTCGCCTCGATTATTTACACCTCCGGGACGACGGGCGATCCGAAGGGGGCAATGCTGACCCACAGCAATTTTATGTCGAATGCGCAGGCTGCAATGAGGATTGTATCAATCACCCCCGATGATGTTTTCCTTTCTTTCCTTCCGTTGTCACATGTGTTTGAACGGATGGGGGGGCACTATCTACCACTTAGCGGCGGTGCAACGATTGCGTATGCTGAAAGCCTGTTTACTATTCGCCAAGACATGCAGGAGGTTCGCCCGACAATTATGATGAGTGTGCCCCGTCTCTATGAGGGGATGCACGAAAGGATTATCCGCTCTGTCAAAGAAGGTTCTTCTACCAAACAGAAAATCTTCCACTGGAGTGTCGGCGTCGGCGCGAAGGTGAGTCAAGCCATTCAACGGAAAAGGAAGCCAAACCCCATCTTATCGCTGAAGGCAAGTATTGCCAATAAACTGGTCTTCCAAAAGCTTAAGGCGGTAACCGGTGGACGCCTACGCTTCTTTGTCTCCGGCGGTGCTCCCTTGTCAAAAGCGATTGCGGAGTTTTTCCATGCGGCGGGCATCCTCATCCTTGAAGGATATGGTTTGACGGAAACTTCACCTGTCATCAGCGTGAATCAGCCAGACCGATGGAAATTTGGCACTGTGGGGCCCATCGTTCCGGGCGTAGAGGTGAAAATTGCTGAGGATGGCGAGATTTTGTCGCGAGGACCGCACATCATGCAGGGCTATTTCAACAAACCGTCAGATACAGCGGAAGCTATTGACGCGGATGGATGGTTTCACACGGGCGACATCGGGGAGATTGATGAGGAAGGATTCCTGGCAATAACAGACCGTAAGAAAAACATCCTCGTTCTCTCCAACGGGAAAAACGTCGCGCCGCAACCCATTGAGAACCAACTCAAGCAGAGTCCCTACATCAGCGAAATTATGCTTCTCGGCGATCAACACAAAAGTGTTGCTGCGCTTATCGTGCCAAGTCTTGATGAGATTAAGGAGTATGCTAAAGAACAGCAGCTTGAGACAGGGGACATGGCTGCACTCCTTCAGACGCAAGAGATTCAGCGACTGATTCGGGGTGAGATTAACCAATATTCGAGCGATCTTGCTGACTTTGAGCGGGTTCGGATGTTCACTTTAATGGCGGAGGAATTCTCAGAGAAATCGGGAGAGATGACGCCGACGCTCAAACTCAAACGATCGGTCGTTATGGAGAACCATAAAGCGGCGATTGACCAGATGTATGGCGATGATGGGTAGAAATCTGCTGTAGTATATACCTCTCCGGTATACGATATAATGCTGAACGTCTAATTGGGATAGCGAGTAAGAGCGTTCATTTTCGCGCAGCCATCCGCTCGAATGCGCTAGGGGATTGGCGAGATTTCCAAGCATCGACTAGTGTGTTTACATTTCGGGTTTTACAGTTTGGCCTAGCGTTTTCAAATTGCCGTACCCGCTTAGCGGATTACCGAAGGCAAAAGAGCACAGGCGACGCAACGTAAATTGCTGCCTTAGCGGAATGAACACGCGGTGTCAAGAACATCATACCCGTATCTGCATTCTATTTATCTACTTATTCGATGCGCCCGAAATCTCTCAACGTTTTCAAGGTATCAACTGTGAACCTAGATTGCCATTCCTTCTTGGCTGTTTGCCACGTTTCTGGATATTGATCTCCCCAAGAGAAATTCGGAGACCAAGAGCCGTCCTCGCCCTGCTGTTCGATCTCAAAGTCCAAGTTCATCGCTACTTCGTCCTTGAGCCCAGCGGCGAGAGGTGATTCCGGAGAGGAAACCAACCACAGGGGCTTGAGAACATAGCCAGTCAGCTGCTCTGCATTCCGGGCGACACGAGGTGCCGCCGCCCGGGCCAGTTTTTCCCAAACCTTGTCCCTATTCGGTAGAGCCTCCGTCTCCGCGAGCCTTGCGAAACAGAGGATGTCGTGCATCTCCATTTCGTCGGGCAGGGAATCCAGATGCTCCAGAACGTCCGCGGCTAATGGCTTCAGCAATTTCGTCGGCACTCCATCGCTAAATTCGTGCAAATATCCGACAATCTCAGCACGCGGGTTGACCAGAAACTGACCGAAACTTTCGGCACTGCTCTCGTAATTCCACCAGGGGGCGTGAGGTGCCTCATTCACTTCAGGTGGAATGATTGGCCATACCTGCCGGGACTCGTCGTAGGTAGCGACAAAATACTCGATTCCTTTCCGTACCAGCGCGTGCCCCACAGGTGCCCGAATTTCCCTGAGAACCTGAAAACCTACCGTGGTCGCAATCGCAGACGAAGCCGATGTCCTGATGTCAGGTTCCAGACTATTGCCAAAACCCCCGTCGTCGTTTTGATAAGATGCCAGTTCGGCAAGGACAGCATTAGCAGATCCGGCTTCAAAGTGAAATTCAAAACGCCTTTGGTCCAACGCCCTCCCCCGATCCATTATGAAGTTCTTCGCGCTCTGAAATGCAGCGTGTGTGAGACTTTTCATTTTTACCCTCGTCTTAGACGGTGGCCAGAGATGACCACTTTTGTAGATCGCATTTTCTTGTAACGTTTCAGCCGTACACAAATAGTGATTAACCGTTGCCCCACAAGCCAAGAAGCGGTAGCAACACAAGGATATGGAATTGTTACTTGATATGGAGAAACACCTTTTAGATGAAACTCTAGCCTGTCCGCAGAAGCTTCTTGGCTGACTCAGACCAATGTTTCTTGAGCTCTTGAGGCACTCGAACACGTCCACTTGCATGAGGGAATATACGCGTATAGCCGATATCAAGCATTGGACGGTTCGTGTCGGTTCTGTTCGGCATCCCCGCATGCCACAATCGCATATCACGGAGAATCAGAGAGCCTATGGGCATTGTCGCTTGTAGGGAGGGCAAGTATTTGCCGCGCTCTCCTAGATTTTGAACATCTGATGGTGGGCAGTCCATAATTAGATGCGAGCCGGGTCAAATCTTTGTAGCTCCATTTTCCTCTAAAAAATCGACTAATGGAATGTCTACATAAATACCTGAGACAGGGAGCACGCAGGGCAGTTCAGGAAATAGATGGTTCCCATCGCGGTGGGGAGTGCTTTCCACTTGGTTTCCGTCTACGTCTGGGGTGCTATCATGAATCCAGCAGTGGAACAAGGCTATCTTCTTGCCCATAGCAGCTTCAATGACTTGGAGCGCGAACGGATTGGTGATAAACTGGTGATGGAGAAACGGCATTTCCATTGCATGACGAACCTTACGCCTCCCGCCGCGTCGGATTGCATCGAAATAGGTACTTTGTGCCTCTTTGACAATATCGAGTGGCACAGCATTTTCAAGGATCACAGCTCCTACTTCTCGCAGTAGCCGAACAGCCAAATCCAAATTAGCCTCACTCATCCTTCCGTCCGTCTGCTCTGCATCAATAATCTGTATCCGCATTTTTCTTCCTTATATATTCGGGCGTATAGAATTCAGTCGTCATAGATGTTGGTAAGACACCGGGATCGGTGTGCGCTGCTCAAGACATCCGTACTGTCCACAAACTGATCGACACTCCCTACAAGCGGTTGTCCTTTCAGCCACTCATCGTGGATGGCTGCCAAGCACACCTCCGCAAATCGATCTCCTCCGAGCACCCGAAAGGGACGTTTATAGAACAAGCGGACTTCAGGATCGACGGGAGGGGTGAGGTTCAGTTGATTGTAGCAACGTGCGATATATTCGTATGCGGAACAGAGCCCCGTTTCTCTGGCAGGGTAGTCCGTAGCCTTGAGTGCTGCATCCAGATATGGGGCGAGTCCGGGGGCAATGCGGAGGTTTCGGAATGCGCTGCCCAGCCACTTGCTATACGGGGCATATCGCCGCTCTATAAGGAAGCAGAGCCTCATGAGATCGCGTACAATTCGGGCTGTCAGGATTCGTGAACCGAGTTCATCGCCTACTTCAGCTGTACGGCCAACCAACGCCTCTTCTTGAGCAATCCGACGCCACTGACAAGCCAAGAGCCATAGCCAGATATCGTTTGGATACCACTCCAGTTTACTGCGAACCCGTTTCAAATCTCCATCCGGGTCATGAAAGACCGCACCTGCTGTTACTTCTAGCAGTAGTTGTTGTGGCGTCGTAAGCCAGTTTTGGACAGTAATATCCACCTGCGGATCGAATCCCAGATGCGATTCAAGCCATTCCTCAAGGGGTACAACATTCACATGGTGCTGAACGGCGACCTCATCCCAACCGAAGCGCACGGGCAACCCGTGAAACTCCTCTGGCAGGCCGGAATCGATAATCCTGCGGACGGCGTCTACCTCAGAGGCTGCCACAAAAAGGTGTAATTGTGGTCCCCAGCCGTGGTCTGTTGATCGAGGAGTATCAAAACCGAGGACATCCGACCCTGAGCCTAGCCTCGCTGCACTGTGGGTTCGTCCTTCGATGAGTGGGCGAACAACTTCAATATAGAACATCCGGGCTAAATCAATACCGCTTACAAAGTCGGTTCCATCGTTGGGTGTATTGCTAGTTTTAGTGCTCGAGGTCATTTTTGATCTTACCGTTTTGTATAAGTTTCCACGGATTATCCTATAGATGGGTTTATCAGCAACCACACTCCTTGAATTCTGGCGAATACTGCACAGTGCCGCTGACTTTATCAAGAACACCATTCTTCAGTTCTATTGCCATGAAGTGTTCGTCAGTGTCATATTCATTGCCCAAGCCGTAAAGGTTGGCACGGGAGAAACCGAATCGTAGGTAGTAGTAGTGACTTCCTAACACGACTGCTATCTCAAATCCGGCCGCCGCACATTTTTTTAACCCTTCGCGTGCCAACATAGAGCCGATGCCCTGTCTTTGGAACTCTGGCAGGACGGATAGGGGTGCCAGTCCAACAGCGCGGAACGCTTTGGGTGCGAGTGTTATCGTAACCGGTGAAAACATGATATGGCCAACAATCTTATTGTCACTGACTGCCACGAGCGCAACCGGTGCCTTGTTTCTGTCTCGAAGCAATTCAACGACATTGGCTTCGAGGTCACCACCGAATGCAGCGACGATAACCTGACGGATTTCCTGATACTCCCCTTGCTGTTCTTCCCGTATCTCTATCATTGTGTGGATTCCTTTCGCAAAGTAACTTGGGTAATCTTGCTATTGTGTGCTAACCGTACCTCAATCAATTTTGGATGCAGCGACTGTTAGCCAAACAGGCAATCCAGCACGGGGATTCCGCCTCCAATCAAGTAACGATTCATCGATGTCAGACGCATCACCGCTGCCCTGCCAAAATCCCGGATCCTGCGCTGGGCTTTCGACAACTTTTTTCAATGTCAATCCCGCTTGTGCCAGCGGATTAAGTAAGTCCGCTAAGGTCCAGTTAAACTCGTACGATTCGTCCACTGACTCTCGAAATGGTCCGGTGTCCCAATAAGGCTTCTCCATTTCAATCGGCATCACCTGCTCCTTCCATGGGCGCATGAATGGATGAATGTCGTAGAAAACGTATGCACCGCCTGGCTTCAGGATTCTCGAAACCTCACGGAAAACCCACCGAGATCGGCAATCCACACGAAGAAGCCGTTTGTGGAGCAGACCAGATCGAAAGTCGAATCGTCTGCGAATCCGAGATCCGCAGCATCGGAACGAACAAAATCAATCGACACGCCGAGGGTTTCTGCACGACTTGCTGCTAGTTTCAATCGTTCCTCTGAAATATCTGTGGAAGTTACAACTGCCCCTAATCCTGAAAGTGCATAAGCCGCCATGTTATCTCCGCTACCAATGACACACACTTGCTTGTTACGAAGATCGCCTGCCATCTCTCGGATTGTAGCAAGTGCTCCGCCCTCAAATGCCAATTCAGGTTCTTTATGACACCTGCGCCAACGCCCATCACGGTTCAAGCGTTCCTCCCATGTTGTCGCCTGATTATTCCAGAGCCGACGATTGGCTTCATGAATTTTAGTCATAGATGATTCGACCTCCCAAGTATCAACATATCGCTTAAGGTTTTCACGTCGCTGAACGCTTACCTATTGAGGCATTCGATAGCCGCCTCCAACATAGAGTAGTTGCCCTGTGAGCCAACGGGCTTGCTCAGAACAGAGGAAAACAGTGACATCCGCCACATCTTCAGGTTTGCCAACCCTGCCTAACGGTGTAGATTCTGCAATCTCTTTCTCAGTTTCAGGTGTGATGTAGCCGTCTGAATCGGTCCAGGGAGCGATTACGTTGACGGTTATCCCGTATTTTCCCATCTCACATGCAGCGAGAGCGACT